AATAATAATAATAAGTAAAGACACTCCAAACTCTCAAAAAAAGCCAGTGTCACCGAGCAGGCGCTCCATCGAGGTTCCGAGTCTGTAAATCGCACAGGAGGAGACAAAAGTCCATCTTCCTCCCGCTGAGCTGCTCCTGGATTCGAACCCTCAGCGCGGCATGGCCTGTGCTTCAGCGGCACTGCTCCGTGTCTGCGCCACCATGGCTCCCTTCTGACCTTATGTGCTGGGTTACTCTACGGCGTGACCGTCCCCTAGGTATAACTCTTGGTCCTTCTCAGGCCCTGTCTATTGCTTGGCGGAAGCTGAGCCACGGAGATGAGTTTAGATTCAGGGTGACTAAGGGTTACCAAGTGTCAAGGATCCACTAGGTCTCTGCTGGGCATGTTTTAAGCCTGGGCTTTTCTGTGTTTTTGAATTTTGTTCCTCGGTAAACACAGCTTGCACGTGCCCGGGGAAACCCCCAAATCCATGGGATACCAAGGCGGGATCTGCCTGATTCTGGGTGATCTGGGATTGAATGCAACCCATCTCGGAGGTCCGCCTGTGGATGGAATACGCAGAACAGACCACTGCGCACAGACCGAAAGCTGGCTGGCCGGCAATGGTCAGGGCCTGGGGCGACGGAGAGACACTGCCTCACGGGGACAGGGTTTCCTTGTGGTCGATGGAAAAGGTTTCTGGAAGTGGACAGAAGTGATAGTTACACAACATTGTGAAAGTATGAAAGTGATAGAGTTGTACTGTGTGTGTGTGTGTGTGTGTGTGTGTGTACCGTCAAATCAGATTTGACAGGTACAGGAGGAGATGGTCCCTCCTTCTCCAGCAGAACATCTGGTGGATTCAAACCACTCACCTCTGGGATTGCAGTGCAGCTTCTTGCCACTAGGCCACCAGAGTTCACCGAGTTGTATACTTTAAAATGCTGGTTTCATTATGAGACTTTGCTTTCTTTCTTTCTTTTTTTAAAAAAGGTGGTTCGTTGGGAGCTGGTCTGAGGGAGGAGGGGCTGTGGGGGTCAGGGCTCTGTGATCTGAGGGAGGAGGGCTGGGTTTTGAGACTCTTGGGCCTGACGGAGGAGAATCTGGGGGTGAGGACCCCCAAGTCTGATGGAAGAGGGGCTAGGGCGTTCAGATGCCTGGGTCTGGGGAAGCATGGCTGCCATGAAGGAGAGAGGGAAGCAGCTGGGGTTCTGGGAGAATTCCGGCTGTGGATGATATCATCCCTGAGGACATCCCTCACCCTACTCCCTGCCTGTAGGGGACCTCTCTCTGGATCAATCGGCCAAGAGAGAAAGAAGGAGACGAGGAGAGACAGCTGCACTACCAGAGTCTCCGCGCTCCGGAGCTGAGGGCCAGCATTCGCTGTCCCTGGAGGAGAAGGTTGTAAACTCCGAGCCTGATCCCTGGGTCCCGAGGACGATGGATGTTAATGCTGTGAGGCTGGACCCCAGAGCGCAGGAATGAATGTGCATGTCATCTATGTGGTACAGGGAACCAGGCCCCCAGGTCCTGAGGAAGGGGAGACGGGCTGCTCTCCCCACCCTCAGAGCTGGTAGGAGGTCTAACTGCAGACCACCGAGTGAGGCATCCTGGTGGCTCAGTGGTTAAGGCGTTCAGTCACACCACCAACTGCTTCTCTGTACGGGAGAAGTCTGTTCCGGATGTTAAGATTCCACAGCCTCAGAATCCTGACCGAGGGGCTGACGTGAGTCTAAATCGACTTAATCAATGGGTTGTTTTAGTTTCGTTTTAAGGAACAGGACTGAGGACTCCTGAGTCCTGCCAGGGTCCAGGGATGTTGGAGGTCAGCAGGGAGAGCCGAAGGGTAGAATTTCTGGGACTTTGAACCCACAAAACTAGAGGAAGTCGGCCTGTTCTCAGGGCTAACTGCTAGGTCTTCAAAGTGAGGAAGTCGTGGTTTGGAGTGAGGTCCCGGAAAATGTGGCGGTCAGACTCACACCCCAAGGTTCAGGGTGGACTTTGCCTTTGTGGGACTGGCCCTGAGGCACCACACATCCCAGGACGTGTCAGAGCTGTGCCAGCAGCTGGGAAGGCAGAGGGGGAGACGGTGGCCGAGACTGGACCAGATGAGCAGGGTGACCGAGAGAAGTTTCTGAAGGAGAGAAGGAACGTCATCAAGAGCTTCGAAGGTAGAGGCTGAAAGAGAGAAGCCCAGAGACCGTAAGGCCTGAGGGGAGCTGGGCCAGCAGGGGGAGAGGGCAGGACTGGAGGCCGGGATTTTATGACTGATCTCCCAGGGAAAGTGGCCAGAGTTGACAGCGGTCTGATCAAACAGGGTCCCAAGCCTGCCCCCCCCCCCCGGGAGCCAATACGGCCCCTGAAATGGGCAGCATTTGCACCTGGAAGGTCAGCGCGTTGGCCACCTGGCAGCTGTCACAGCCCAGCCCTCTCTTTCCCCTGCAGAGCCGGGATGTGGAGCTACCTAATTCTTCTTCCCATGCTCCTGGCTCTAGGAGCCACTGCTGGCATCTGGACTGTGTGAGTGACAGTGGCATGACGGGCGTCCGAGGGACGAGGGTCAGGACTCCAGGGTCTGAGGGAGGAGGGGCTGGGTGCCAGGACTCCAGGGTCAGAAGGAGGAAAAGCTGAAGTCTGTGGGAAGTGGGGCTGAAAATTAGATTTTGGGGCAAGCTCTGTGGGCCTAGTGGCAAGAAGCTGCACTGCAATCCCAGAGGTATAAGGTTTGAATCTACCAGATGCTCTGCTGGAGAAGGAGGGACAATCTCCTCCTGTACCAGTAAGATCCGATTTGACGGTATACACACATACAAACAATAAAAATAAAATTTAAAAAAATTCTATTTTGGGTCCGCCGCCCCCTGCGCCATGGGTGAGGAAGGAAAAGCTGGTCTGGAAGCTTCCTATTCACTTTGATGTCTTAACTGCCTCAGGTTTGGGATCGCAGTGGCCAACAAGTCCGTGAACCTGAGTGATCACTTTCCCTCCATCAGGTGGGTTGGGCTGGGCCAGGAGAGAGGGTGGGAAGGGGTGCTGGCAGGACGCACCCCAAGTGTCTTCTTCTCTCCCCCAGTAAGTGTGGGTCTTACCCACCACAGAGCTGCATCTTCAGTCAGGTGCTCAACATGGGAGCGGCACTGGGTAAGGGCGCCCCGAGGTTTAAAGCCAAGACCCTCCTCCTTCGGACCCTGGGCCCAGGACCCTCCTCACGCAGATCCTGAACCCCAGTTCCCTCCTCCCTTGGACCCTGGGTCCCAGGACCCTCCTCCCTTGCACCCTGGGCCCTACGCCCTCCCACCTCAGATCCTGGGCCCCAACGCCCTCCTCCCGCTGACCCTGGGCCCCAGGACCCTCCTCCTTCGGACCCTGGGCCCCAACATCCTCCTCTCTCTCTCGGACCCTGGGCCCCAGGACCCTCTTCCTGTAGACTCTGGGCCCCAACATCCTCCTCTCTCGGACCCTGGACCCCAGGAGCCCCCTCCTTTGGACTCTGGGTTCAACATCCTCCTCTCTCGGATTCTGGGCTCCAATGTCCCCTTCCCTCGGACCCTGGCCCAACCGCCCTCCTTCCTCGATCCCTGGGACCAATGCCCCCCTCCCTCGGGGCCCTGACACCAGCCCCCCTCTTCCCTTGGAGTCTGGGCTGGGGGACCCTCCTCCTTCAGATCCAGGATCCCAGGCCCCTAGCCCCCTCCTTTCCCAGAACCCGGAGTTTGGCCCCCCACCCCTGCCCACCTCTCGTGTCCCGCCCGCCTCTCTCTCCTCCCAGCTGCCTGGGTCTGCATCCTCCGTTACCACCAGCTCCGGGACTGGGGAGTCGGAAGGCGGTTTAACCAGCTGATCCTGTCGGCCGGGCTCCTAAGCGTCTTCGGTACCTCCCTTGTGGCCAATTTTCAGGTGAGACGTCTGTTCTCAGAACCCAACTGAAGGGCGTCAGCAAATCAGCTGATTAAACTACAACTCCCATGAGACCCCGGGGCGCAAGGTCCGGAGTTTTAAGGACTCTTCTGCGCATGGCCTCCTGGGATTTGTAGTTCATTTGCCGGTGGGGTTGGTCTTGGGGCATATGAATGGGGAACCCGGGTGGGAGGCACTTGGTATCAGTTACTTCTGAGATGATGCGGGGTGCGAGGAGGTAGGGCGGCCCAGACCTCCCCAATACAGCGAGGCATGCGCTAATTTTTTTTGCATTTCCCAGTACATGTGAAAGTTACGTTGCCTCTGTATCGTGTAGTCTATGAACAGGAGCCCTGGTGCAATATGGGTTATGAGAACGGGTTGGCAGTTCAGATCCACCAGGCTCTGAAGGAAACGGATGGACAATGCTCTCCTGTTAAGAATGGAAACCTCCCAACTCACAGTAGGGGCACCGCGAGTCAGGATTGACTGGAACGCAGTAGGATTATTATTTTGGGGGCGGGAAGGTCATTGTTGGCTGTGTGTTCAAAGAAAAAACAAGTCTGTGTGTTCAGAAGAACAAACAAACCAGTCTGTCTTTGAAGCAATGCAGCCAGGGCTGCTCCTTAGACGCAGGGACGGTGACAATCTGTCTCACTGCTTTGGCCATGTTCTTAGGAAGAGCCAGTCCTTGGAAAAAAAAATATGCTGGGTCAGAGAACGAGAAGGGAGACCCTCAGCAAATGGGTGGACACAGTGACCGTCACCGTGAGCTTACGCATGATGGAGATTGTGAGGACTCAGGGTTGCATCTGAAAAGGTTTCTGATAACGGAGCTCCGGCGGCCTCGTGGTGAGAAGCTGCACTAATATCCCAAAGGTACGCAGTTCGAATCCACCAGATACTTTGCTGGAGACGGAAGGGCAATCTCCTGTAACCAGTCAGATCCGATTTGACGGTACACACGCACACAAAATAATAAAATTTAAAAATAAAATTTAAAAAAAGTGTACAGGGCATGGTGAAAGTGTTTGCATATTGCAAGACTTTGCAAACTCAGACACTGAGGCATGTGGGAAAATGACACTGTCTCGTGCTCCAGGCAGGCATCCAAGTCCTCTCTCACGGTACCATCAGGCCTACTGCAGGCAGCTAATGCGAACTAAACCCCTGCCCATCAGAGCGGATCCCAATGTACAAATACCCTGTGCAACAGCTTCCAAGGGTCTGTGAGCTTTATGAAAACACATCCCCACGGACTCCCCTACAGAGCAGTTGGTAGGTTCAAACCACTGACCTTTTGGTTAAAGAACCCCTGATTTAGCAACCCCACCACCAAGGACTCTTTTTTAAAAAAATTATTTTCTTTTACTATTTTGAGTGTATGTACCGTCAAATCCGATCTGACTGGTACAGGAGGAGATTGTGCCTCCTTCTCCAGTAGAGCATCTGGTGGATTCAACCCTTGTACCTCTGGGATTGCAGTGCAGCTTCTTGCCACTAGGCCACCACAGCTCCCTAACCACCAAGGACTCTTAACAGCAATGAGCCGCACATCAGAATCCCTGCCCTCTGCTGACATAACCAATGAACATAAACTGTAAACTGACCATGGACAGGACAGACTTCCATCATATTCTATAAGGGGTGGTAACTGACCCTCCCTCTTTCCCCCCTACTCTTACCATTTTCCCAGTCTTCTCAAGCCTTTCCTTTCTCCTCCACCAGCAAACGAACCAGCGTACCACCCACCTTACTGGGGCCTTCCTGGCCTTTTTTGTGGGTCTGCTCTACTTCTGGCTGCAGCTGCTTCTCTCCTGGCGGAGGAAGAACCTGCCCCAGGTGGGGTGGCCGTGGGTTGGGCCCTGCCGCCTCGGACTCTGCACGGTTTGCACTGTCCTCATCGTGACGAGTATCCTCCAGGGGCTGGGGGGGCAGGGCCTGGGGGGGCAGGGCCTGGAGGACAGGACCTGGGGGGGCAGGGCCTGGGGCAGTTCTCCACGGGATGGGTCTTCTGCCTGCCTTCCTCTGGTGCCACCTGCATCCCTGAGGGATGGTGGGTGATGACAGCACCGTGGTCCAGAGTGGAAAGCTCTGAAAGCCTCAAGGATAAGCGCTCAGTTAGCAGTTCAAACCCAGCCGGTGGTCGGCAGGACCATGATGAAGTCGTTGGCTACTGGGGTTAGCAGTTCAATCCCAGCAGCTGGTCTGCAGGACCATGATGATATAGTTGGCTACTGGAAAGATTTACAGCCTCAGGGGTTACAGGGCAGTTCTAGTCTGTCCTGGGGTGGGCCTCTGAATTGGAAATGACTCCATATTAGTAAGTTAGATTATTTCGGTTCAGTCAAGAGTGTGGACACCTTTAAGTGATGCAAACACCCGAGAGCTTCCCTGCTCATTCGTTTGGCTGTGTTGCCAGGAAGGATCTGAGCCCTGTTCTCTTGTGCATTGAGTTGCTTCATTGGGTCTCATCAATTACTGTCAAGAACGAGGGAGGTAATCTATTCAACTTATAGCCTTGCAAACCCGCTACTTCAATACTCTTCTCCAACACCACAACTCAAAGACACCGTTCCTTCTCGAGGCTTCCTTATTCCTTGTCAAGTTTTCACATTCGTACGAGGCACTTTGAAATACCATGGCTTCGGTCGGTCGGACACACCTTCCTTTTTACATTGACGTCCTGGCTCCGTACCCATTTAAAGAGGTCTTTGACAGCAGATTTGCCCAATGTAACTTTTTTTTTTTTGACTGCCTGGGTGTTTTTGACATTGGATGTTGATTATAGATTTCAGTAAAATGGTGTATACAAGATATCCATAGCTGGATCTTATGGATTTTTTGTTTGTTTTTGTATGTGTGTACCGTCAAATCAGATCTGACTGGTACAGGAGGAGATTGTCCTTCCTTCTCCAGCAGAGCATCTCGTGGATTTGAACCATGTACCTCTGGGATTGCTGTGCAGCTTCTTGCCACTAGGCCACCAGAGCCCCCCTGGATCTTAGGTTTTAAGATTACTGTATTTAAGACACACATAGGTTTTTCTAGGGATGATAGAAGGAGAATTGATGCCTTTGAGCTGTGGTGCTGGAGAAGAGTATTGAACAAACCATGGACTGCTAGGAGAACAAACAGATTCGTCCTGGAGAGGCTGAAACCAGGCTGCTCCTTAGAGTCAAGGATTCGGAAGCTTCATCTGACATATTTTGGACATGTTGCAAGGCGGGATCAGACCTTGGAGTGGGATGTCATGCTTGCGAGGGTGGAGGGACAGCACAGGAGAGGAAGACCCTTGATGAGATGGGTTGATGCAGTGACTGGGGTAATGGGGATAGTGTGTTGGAGACAATACAATTGGCACAGGACAGAGCAGGGTTTGGGGCTGTTGTACACAGGGTCGCGATGAGTCACAGGCGACTCGACGGCGCATAGCGACAACATATTTAAGACACCGACTAATACTCATCAGGTTGGACGTAAAACGTTGTCTTTGTGGATATTGTTAGGTGCTGTTGAGTCATGATAATCCGATGAAGAACAGATCTGAATCTTGTCCTGTCTTCTCCATCCTCCCAACTCTGTCACACCTACTGTCACAATTCCTACATCAGCCCATCTCAGTGAGGGTCTTCCTCTTTCACGGCCCCTCTCTGCCTTTCCCAAAATATGTCCAAAGTCAGTCAGATGAAGTTTCCCCTCCGTGGCTCTCGGGAGCATCCTGGTTACATTTCCTTCCAGACAAACTAGTTTGTTCTTTTCACAGTCCACAGGACATCCAGTCCTCTGCCGGCACCACAAGTCAAAGGCATTGATTCTTCCCCTGTATTCTTTATTCACGGTCCAACTTTCACATGCTTAAGCACATGCGAAGCACAGGTTTCCACCTGGGAGGTCGGGAGCTGCGGAGAGCAGGGCAGGGTTTTTTATTAAGCTTTTAAATTGTGATTTCATTGAAGCTGTTAATCTTCACGGGAGCTGACTGCATCTTCCTCCCCTGCAGCGGCTCGTGGGTTTGAACCGCTGACCTGTCCATCAGCAGCCCAGTCCACGGCTTGGGAGCTCGGGTCACAGCAGCACCCACAACAGAGCTGGCTGCTACGTAAGGTGCTCATGGCTGATGGTGGCCATCACTGAAATGGTTCAAAGCACCGGCTGGGGCGTGGGGCGGTGGGGCTGCTGTCTGTCTGTCTGTAGGCCCTTGACCCTGCTGTGAAGTGGTCATTTCCTATCGGCTGAAGCTGAAGACGGCCTCCGCGGCCTGCGAGTGGGCAGCAGCCATGTTGATCTTCATGCTCTTCGGCCTCCTGGCCGTGGACTTCTCCTGCCTGGGCGGCTGCACCCTGTCCCTCCAGGCGGCCCCGGGCCTCGACCCGCAGCCGCCGCCAACGCCAAGGGCCCCCTGCTCCCTGCAGGTCCAGCAGTCCCAGCGCCTCTGAGCAGTGTCCTCTCTACTGGCCGAAAAGGAACCAAAGAGGAGTCCAAGCCTGTCGCCCCACCCGCACCCCCGTGACCCACCGGGGAGGCTGCCAGCTGGCCGGGAGGTGGACGGAGACGTTACTGACCAAGGCTTCAGTTTCTGGTGGCCAGCCGGCTGTAGAGGCCACGCACGACCCCCAGAGCCCGGCTGCTGGCACCAGGACCACCCAGGCCACGTGGCCGCCAGGAAGCGAGACCCCGAGGCCAGCCAGAGGTCCCTGATCACGGTTATTTATTATTATCATT